ACTTAGGTGATCTGATGGTGATGCTGCAGGAGCAGGCTCGCCGACAGGAGAAACAGGCTCGCCGACCCGAGGAACAGGTCTGTCAGTTGAAAGAGCAGCTGCAGAGCGGACAAGAGGAACAGGTCCATCGTTTGGAAGAGCAGCTGCGGGGCGGACAAGAGGAGTTGGAGGCTTTGAGCAGGCGGAACGGACAGGAGGAACAGGCCCGTCGGTTGGAAGAGCAGATGCTCCTCATAAAGGGTCTTCACGCTACCTTCGGGAAGGAGATCAAGGAGGTGAAGGATAGGGTTGCTCAGGATGACAATCGCCTGTCAGAAGCGAAACCCAAATCGCGAAAGCTGAAACCCGAATCGAGATAGCTGAAACCCGAATCAACCAAGTGAACAATCGGGTTGACAACGTGATGGCTGACGTGAAGAAAACGCTGGACGACCTCAAACTAGGGGATGGAATTACAGCTCCCGTAGTAGCTACAACACCTTCGCTACGTGGGTTCAAAGTGCCACCGTTCGACGGGACTTCTTCCTGGTCAGCTTACAAAATCCAGTTTGAAGCCGTTATGAAGGCGAACGGCTGGAATAAAAGTCAGGCAATTACTGCTCTCACACTAGGCCTGCGCGATCAGGCCTTAACTGTTCTGGAAGCTCTCGGTAAGAAAGTGAGTTACGAGCAGCTCCTTGAGGCATTGGAGGCGAGATATGGCGACGCTCACCTAGAACACGTCTTTCGTGCGCAGCATAAAGATCGCGTGCAGCGCATCAATGAAAACCTGCAGCAGTGGGCTCTAGAGGTAGAGAAGCTGGTGCGAAAAGCATACCGGTCTGTACCTGTGCTCATTGAAGGGAACCTGGTGCAGACAATCATCGACGGCATCCTCGACCTTGAAGTCAGAGCTGCTGTGAGGCTGGAGCACCACGAAACGCTTAAGGACGCCTTGGCCCATGCACTGGAGGTGGAAGCCGTGCGACAGGATCATCGTTCCCATCACGTCAGGGAGGTTGCAGCAGCTACAGTTCGCAACCGCAACAAAGTTCGATCCAACTGCCGTAAGCGAACCCTAAAAAGGAAAGGTGAACGATCTCAGGAGGGTAGTGCGGCCAACAGCACTGCCCAGCAGCAGCAGGGAAACGAGTAAAAGCCAGAACTGCGGGGCGGGTGCTGGCTGATGTTAAAAGAGCCCCAAGAATCTCGATCTCACAAAGCCATGATGGGAACAGTCTAATCATCAAGAGCGAGGTCAACGGAATTTCGTGTAAACTGACCATAGACACTGGAGCCTCTCGTACGGTTGTTAGTTCCCAACTTATAAGTCAGTTCCTTGGGGACTCCGCATACAAACGAGAACGCATTAATTTGGTAACAGCCACCGGTCAGCGTATACCCGTCCGTAGAGAGAAGGAGATGAAGCTAGGCAACGTGATCTACCTGCATAATGTCATCGTGGCTGATATAATGGACGACTGCATCCTGGGCCTAGACTTTATGAGGGATAATTGTTGTGAGATCGACGTTAAGCAAGGTGTTTTGAAATGTGGACAGGAGGAACTTTTTATGGAAGGTGCGTTACCAGGGAACGTGTACATCATTAAGAAGATTGTTCTTCCGTCGAGATCGGAAACGATTGTGCCAGTTTGTCTTCCTCGAAACGCTGGGCAAGCTCACCGTTGTGTACTTGTAGAAAGGGTAAACAATGAATTTCCATGGAAAGTAGCTCGAACCTTGGTGAGAACCACTGTCATCTCAGGAGTACGTGTGCTGAACCTTTGTGACCGGGAACAGATTATAGAAAAAGGCACGATGGTTGGTACTTGTGAGGAAGTGGATTGGTTACGTCGGTGCCAATATCTATCGAGTGAGACCCCTAGCAAGGATGCACAAACGAGAGTGACCCCACTTTTGGAAGACTGTCGCAGCGTTCTCCCCCCGAACGAAATGGTCAAGGAAAAGAAGTTGTTACTCAAGTACGCCGATGTATTCTCATCAAACGATGCTGACATAGGAAAGACTGGCTTAGTTCAACACAAAATAAACACAGGGGAAGAATTGCCTATCCGTCAGCGGCCAAGAAGATTGCCGGTAGCACGTGAAAAAGAAGTAGAAACCATGATTGAAGGTAAGGTGAAGGATGGTGTTATTGAACCTTCCTCTAGTCCATGGTGTTCACCTGTGGTGCTGGTAAAGAAGAAGGATGGCAGCATGCGGTTTTGTGTTGACTATCGCTGTCTCAACGACGTTACGAAGAAGGACAGCTATCCCTTGCCAAGAATTGATGACACGCTGGACATGCTTACAGGAGTAAAGTGGTTTAGCACGCTGGATCTAAAAAGTGGCTACTGGCAAGTTGAAATTGACCCCAAGGACAAGGAGAAAACTCCGTTCTCGACGGGAAAGGGTCTGTGGCAATTTAAAGTAATGCCGTTTGGGTTGTGCAATGCTCCAGCAACGTTTGAAAGGCTGATGGAACTTGTACTTACCGGCCTAATTGGCGACGCCTGTTTGGTCTACTTGGATGACATCATCATCGTGGGCCGTACGTTTGAGGAACACCTTCAAAACCTGGAACGCGTGCTCATGAAGATTCAGAGTGCCAACCTCAAGTTGAGTCCGAAGAAATTTTCACTATTCAAACGGCAAGTCAACTTTTTGCAGTATGTAGTGTCGGAAGAAGGTATTCGCACGGATCCGGAGAAAATCGCAGCTGTCAAGGATTGGCCGGTTCCAAAAGACAAGACGCAGGTTAGAGCATTTTTGGGTTTGTGCTCCTATTACCGGCGATTTGTGAAGAACTTTGCAGATATAGCCAAACCTCTGTATAAGCTAACCGAGGAGAAGCGACATTTCTGCTGGGATGAAAGTTGCAATATTGCATTCCAGGAGCTCAAGGACCGTCTGTACAAAACACCCACTCTGATGCAAGCAAAGAATTTATAGTTGACACAGACGCAAGTGATATAGGACTTGGCGGTGTGTTGTCTCAACGGAATGGTGACCAAGAGGTCGTGATAGCGAGGTGGATTGAACTACTGCAGGAATACGACTTTGAGATCGAACATCGCAGCGGGAAATCTCATGGCAACGCAGATGCATTGTCAAGAAGACCTTGTCCTGAAGATTGCAAACATTGTACTAGGCAAGAGAGTAAGGAAGTGGTATCCGTGAGGATGCATAGGACAGACCACCTCAGCAACGAGTGGAAGGACAGCTTACAACGTGCACAGCAGGAAGATCCGGACATCAAGCCGATTCTAGAATGGATAATGGATAAAAAATTGGCCAGTGCTCCCAAGCCCATGTGGAGCGACGTCTCAGCGATGAGTTCGACCACTAAAAGCTATTGGGCCCAATGGGACAGCTTGCTGCTTCAGGATGGAGTTCTGTGCCGTAAATGGGAAAATGTTCGGGGAGACAGCTGTCATTTGCAAATGGTCGTCCCTAAAGCTTAGAGTACCGGATGTTCTACAGCTGTACCATAATGATTGTTCAGGAGGCCATCTGGGAGTTAAACGAACTCTACTGAAGATCCGAGAACGGTTTTACTGGGTCCACTGTCGAAACGATGTCGAGGACTGGTGTCGCAAATATACAAGTTGTGCGGCTGTAAAGGGACCTCAGACTCGTAGTAGAGGTGCATTGAAGTTGTACAATGTTGGTGCACCCTGGGAGAGAATAGCCATTGACGTGGCGGGGCCATTTCCGGAGAGTGAAAGCGGCGACAAGTATTTCATGGTTGTGATGGATTACTTCACTAAGTAGCCAGAAGTCTTCGCCATTCCAAATCAAGAAGCTTCAAAAGTTGCAGATAAACTAGTTCATGAAGTCTTCTGTCGTTTTGGAGTACCTTTAGAGATTCACAGCGATCAAGGAAGGAATTTTGAGTCTCAAATATTCTAGGAAACTTGCCGAGTTATGGGTACTCATAAAACAAGAACGACTTCTTATCACCCGCAATCTGATGGAATGGTAGAACGATTTAATCAGACATTGGAGAGGTACCTAGCAAAAGTTGTAGAAAATCGGCAACGTGATTGGGAAAAGCACATACAACCGTTTTTGTTGTCATATCGAACCGCTGTTCACGAAAGTAAATCAGTGACACCAGCTTTCGGAAACTTTGGAAGAGAATTACGGCTGCCTGCAAACCTGATCACCGGGATACCACCTAATGCCCCACGCAGTAAAACCGATTATGCAAATGACTTGAATGACATTTATGAGCACGTCAGACAATCGGGCCAGCAAATGTTCGAAAAGATGAAAACCCGGTATGACCGCAAAATGAACAACAAAGGGTTCGACGAAGGTTCACTAGTGTGGTTGCACAATCCGGTCCGTATCAAAGGGAAATCTCCTAAGCTTCAAAATAAAGGGGACGGCCGAACCGGATTGTAACCAGGATCAACGATGTAACCTACCGAATACAGAAAGGCGCAAGAGGGACTCCTAAGATAGTCCATGTGGATCGCCTGGCGCGTTATTATGGTGCCGATAATGCTCGGGACGAGCATGTCTTAGGAGGGGGCAGTAAGTTGCGCGCCTAAGTTGACGTCATGTACCCTAGCGCCATCTAGTGTAGGGGACGAGAGCGAGGGGAGCTTACCAGAAAATGACATCACTAATCTTTCAACCGACAGCGCCATCTAGTATCGAAACGAAGAACTAAGCTATCTAGAAGCCCGACACTCGAACTTTCGACGCCTTGTCGATTGGCACGCGTATTTACTTGAATATTCTGGATGTTTCGGTGAAAATGTGTTTTTAAAGGCGCTGCAAGATGCGATCGAGGAAGTATTGAATTTGGCGAGACAAGCGAAGCTTCGGAGCGGAATAAAGTGAATCAGTGTGATTAATTATTAGTGTTTTAAGTTTAATTAGTGTAAAGTGAATTAAAGAGTTAATTTTGGTAATTCTATCGGCAATTTTTATTGTCACGAACCTCAAGCTCGTAACAGTGTTATAGCAACATATATATTCTAATTCGTTAATATATTTATCTTTTTCAGATATTACCATATCCAAAAGCAGTTGGGTTCATAGTTACAAATGAATTCTGCGAAAGGTTTTCGTACTATGGAATGCGAAGTAAGTATTATTTTCTCTTCTTTCGTAAATGTTATTAAGACAGAGATACAAAAGAGAAGTCTGCCTTATGTAAAATTAAAAAAGTTTCACTAGAAAACAAAACTAAAGTTACCTAATAATTTTAAATTTGCTTTCAATGGGGTAGGCCTGCGTCCAGAAGTAATCATACACGGACTAATAGGAAATACTAACGTAACGGAAATACTAACGTCAATATAATTTTAAATAATATTAGGAACCTAGTACCTACGTAAAACGGAACGGATAAAGTTATGGAAATATAAAAATTTTTAATTTATTTTATTATTAATATATAACTATATTATAATAATAATAAAATAATTATATAACAAAGCTTTTTAAAATAGTATTGGATACAAAAAAGATTCAAAATTACCTTTTTTTTATAGGATAGGGTGACAAACGAGCACACAGTCCACCTGATGGTAAGTGGTTGCTGTGGCCCATAAACATCTATATCTATCCTCGATTACGAATCCAAATGCAGATGCGTTGTCACCCGTGAGAACTAAGATGGAATGCCTCGTTTCCATTAAAAGGGTCTTCGGTTCTCTACATTCACCGTACGAAACACAGCAGCATTAAGCTACTATTTTACGCTGGTATTCTGTGAGACCGTGATCCTTCCCCGGTCGAGTCGACACATTCGTGCTACAACTATACTTCTAATATAACTGCAGCATGGCTCTACCACGTATAAAAACTGTAATTATATTAAAGACAGAAAAATATTGTAGTAAATTATTTAAGAAAGAAAATTAACTGTAATTTCAGGAATTATTCTAAATATATTGAAATTATATTCTAAATATATTGACCTCAGAGTGGCGACCTTGAACGACATGCAGGAGGTCGATGGATTCAAGTAGCTAAGGACCGTGCGTGAGGTCATTAGGGGCGGTATGTGTTCAGCACTGGACTTGTGATGGACTGAAAAAATGATGTTGATAGAGATACTTTATGACTGGCTAGACTAGAGTAGATATCATGAGATTTAATTTTTTTTGCACGGACCTCTACACACGAAACACACACACACACACGCGCGCGCGCGCACTCATGCACACATACATACATACATATTACATACATATATAAATATAAATATATACCTATATATATATATATATATATATATATATATATATATATATATGTATATATATATATGAGATGTTATAAGTACTGTGTATACGTACATAATATTTAGTAGAAAGCTGTTATTTTTACATTACAAACTGATAGCGTCGCAAGTTTAAATTGATGTAACAAAAAAAAGAATGAACTCTTTATTTTATGTAGAAATGCTAATCCCTAAATCATGAGACAGTGTGTGAATGTTGCCAATGATGTATGATTAAAGATAAGTATGAATGATTCTTTTTTACTTAATTTAAATTCATGTGTTACGTAATAATCGCTTACGTAAAGGGAGCTGAAAGAAAACAAAAGAGGTTTTGTTATCATAATGTGATAGACATCCCACCGCATTTAAAGAGAGAGAGTTTAATGCTAGAACATGAAAGTATAGGTATATATCAGAAAAGACAAGGATAGCTATATTATGTTAGAGACAGAGAGAGAGAGGATGAGAATCATAAGAGGTTCTAGAGATACTCCCAGGAGTTCCGTAGGAATTAATTGGACAACTCGTAGGAGTATGCTTAATTAAATACTTATTTCTTAGTAAAGTGCGAAGTTCCTTGTAGAAAATAATAGCATATTATCTACGTAAAATTGGTATCTTTTAAAATCACTTGCAAATGTTCTACTTATATGCTATATTAATGTGTGATAGAGAAAATGTTATTAAGTTCTTGTTTTAATTGCAAATTAACTAGTTATTGTGAATTTTTAATGTTAAATGTCATATTAAAGAAATATTTTCGCTTAAAACTTTGTAGAAAGAATACGTTTAAGATTCTGTTTCCTGCATTAAACTGTTTAACTATTTAAGATAAATAAAAACAATGATAAGACTGACTGCTCCAACCTGGTACGCGCTCCTGAGCGATCGACAGAAACGGCGACTGCAGGCCCAGCAGAATTTGTCATTATGGATCATTGTCGGTGCGGGTCGCTACGTCCGGAACGACGTTATAGCGGCCGACATGAGGATAGAAAGCTTCCAAGAACTTGTGGTCCGGCTGGCGCGCGGCATGTTCGACCGCGTTGACAACGGGCCACATTAACATCTCAATGACTTTGCGCCGCTACACACACGGCCCCCGGATGGGCGACCCTATCCAAGAGAACTCCTCTCTATATAGATTAGAGAGTCGAGTAAATCCCACAATGCCGCAAAAAGGCCAACTCTGACAAACACATATATTGAACAACCTCCTTTTAATTATAACTTACCCGACTGCGGCCAAAACCGCTATTGACATCGCCTTGTATAAGGCGCCCAGGACCGGCACATGTAGTGTGCTGTGTGTGCTGTGTGAAGAATACGCGGGTAAGGGGGTGTACCCAGATGCGTGAGACGTGCTGGGTAGAAAGCCCACTCAGAAGACGACACAATTTATTCACAGCTCTTGTAACAAATAGCCAGGACCGGCCAATTGTAGTAGGCGTGAAGAATTCCCGGCTGAAGGGGTATACCCCGAGGTCCGAAACCTGCTGGCCAGAAAGCCCACGCAGAAGACATCGTACTACTCGATCCTTCGGGTCGCTACGCCCGGAACGGCGTTATAGCGGCCAACCTCAGTGTGGAAAACCTAGAAGAGTTTGTGGTCCGGCTGGCGCGCGGTCGAACATACCGCGCGCCAGCCGGGCCACACCCGCACATCAACAATTTAGCGCCGCTACACACAGCCCCTGAACGGGCGACGGGGAACTCCTCACTACATGGATTAGTGAGGCGAGTAAAAACACAATGCCACAGAAAGACTAACTTTGACAAACATTAAATAACCACCAATTGTTATAATTTACCCGACTGCGGCAACACGAACGATCGCAGTTCGTTCGATATCACCGGTTCGATACAAGTTCGATACCAGCTACAGTTACCTTATACTCAAGAAAGTACATAGTGAAAAGTTATCACATTTCCCGAGCATTTAAAAGTAATTGCTATTTCATTCCCAGTATCAACCCTATAAGTTAGGGAAAGTAAGGTTAATATATGCAGTCGACATTTTCTTGTATCTAGACCGGGACCAAACGTAGGATCCGTAATCTTAGGCATCAACCACTTTTCTTTTAAGATAGGGGGTGTGTATTTCTGAATAAAACGTTATCGAGGGATACACCCATTGCGTTGATTCGAACCCAACGTAGTGTGGCTTAGGCAAGGAGTTAGGTCGACGAGTTAGGAACTGGAAGACTCGCCGGGTCACAACAGTGGACATTCAGAAAACGCTCGCTAATGTTCACAAACAGACATTTCAATTTTATTTATAAAGATATTAATGATATTATTTTATATATAAAGAGATAGAAACGAAAGAATGCTATATTTGTAAAAAGTTCAAGGGTTCTGTCGCGTATCATTTCTGACCTCGAGAGGTAAGCACTTGCTGATATTGTAAGTACTTAAAATGTTATTTAATTTATTTAATTAAATGCTACTGCGAACTCAATCCATGTCAATATTGATATATATTATTTACTTACATTAAATGTTAGCAATGTATATATAACGGTCATTATTAATTTTTTTGATATCATTCCGAAAGTCTACAAGTGCGAATTGATTAACTTGAATGATTGTTTCAAATACAAATAGTACTCGATAAGTAGCAAATATTGCATGCCTTATGCGCAAAGCTGAAAAATTTTCTGCTAGGTCCTAAAAATTAAGAATCCAATGTTTTGTCGCATGAAATCGTATCTAACAATCATATTTATATGTTATAAATGATAAAAATGGTTATTGTTAGAAAGATAAATGATTGTTGAACTTATAAATTTTTTTTAAATCGACCAATTGCAATTTTTACATTAAATAGTGGTTTTAGAGGCTTTTGGTGTCGGTTTATCAAGTCCGCATGTCGGGGTAAACAATAACTTTAAAAAAATATCAATTGTTCAACTCAATCTATTTTTTAATCTCCTCATCTTACATGTGGGAAGCCATAGAATGTAAATGACTGTTTAATTATTTTATTTTTTTGTTTAGTTATAATTAATTATTGTCGGCTGAGAAAATACGAAACATTCGTTGCTTGCACAGCCTTGTAATAATATATTTTAGTAAATACAGATCCACTTTGACTTAGTGCGGGCTCGGCCCATAGATAAATAGATATCTAGCAAGCTAGCTCGGCCGCCGTCGTGAGTGGATTTCTGTACCGTTTGTTTACAGCGGCTCGTCATGAAAATTATCGGTATTTTTATAATCACAGATTTTCATTAGGTACAATATATTGTTTCGCTATAAGTATGTAGGATTTATATATAAATATACATCTTGAAAAATAAATTATTACATTAATTTTTACAAGTCATATAAAAAAGACTAGTTTTTAAGATAATGCCTTCTTTTTTTTAAACGGTACCCCCTCCCCGCACTAGTATTTTCTCCTGTATCGTGGAGACTGTTTACATACATAAATTGCACAAGGACAAACATCCATACCCGGAACAATTACTTGTAGGCCATACAAACACTTATTCCATGCGGGATTTGAACCCTCGAACCTCAGCGCTATAACTCATTGCTAAGCTATTGGACCACGGAGCTGTCAATGTCGTCGTGCCTGAGTACAAATAATTTAAGTACCTAGTAGTTACTAAAAATTAAAGTTGATTTCTGATCGTTTTAAAATAATTCTATTAAAAGTTTTTTCAATTAACAATCATAAATTTTTATTGAATCTCAATAATAATAACAGTAAAATTAAAAAAAATATTTTCTATTGATTGAGATTTTTTTCTACATTTTTGCACTTCTGGATTTTCCACCTTTTTTATTGACGTTTGACATACAATTATCGGAAAATTAGAAGTAATAGTAACAAGGTTGTTTGTGC